TCTGTTTATAGGATTTCCTATGTGCGAGGCACTGTTCTAGGTGCTTTTCATATAGTGACTCATTTAATCTCCTCTACAGCTGTATGAGGGAGGCAATCAGCTTACTTGATTTTTGTCGATATTCCATCGACATCCAAAATTATATATTCTTTTTTTGAGATGTACATAGGGATATTATAAAACCAAGTTTATTGGTTGTATGATTTAATTCTTCTGTGCCCTGACTTATGTTTTGTCCTGCCAGATCTGTCTAGTTCTGGAATCTTCCACTTTATCTCTTTAAAGTAGCAGATAAGGGGCACCTGGGTGGCTCAGTCACTTAAGCGTGGAACTCTTGATTTCGGCTTAGGTCGTGATCTCAGGGTTGCGGGATCCAGCCCCACATCAGGTTTCGCGCTCAGCGGGGGGTCTGTTGACATTCTTTCTCTCCCTCTGCCTCTGCCCCTCCCCCACTCACACTTGCTCACACGCGCGCCCTCTCTCTAAAATAAATAAATAAATCTTAAAAAAATAAACTAGCAGGTAAATATACAGGGAAAAACTATTTTATTTGGCGCACGAGGGACTATTATATCTTCCTCATACATTATGTCTTCTTTTTCAAGTGTGATGATAAAGGTGAAGGGATTCTTTACCCTATTTATTCCGTTTCACGTAAGTTCCATAGGGTCTGACTTCGACAGTGCTGTTCCTGCCCTCCCTTCAGTTGCATTGCCTCTCTGTCCACACCTTGATTTTCTGCCATTGCCACTAAGTGGAATGTGTGATTCATGAAAGAGAGTTAGGTTTTGTTTTTAATTCAACATTCCCATCCTTGTTGTCTAATTAATGGGAGATTTAGATCATTCTCGTTTACTTTATATACTTGACTTTGTTCCCATTTTTCTTTATGATGATTATGATGATTTCTTTTACATATCATTCCCTTCATTTTCCTTTTGCACACATTTGCTTTTTGGAGCACTTGAACATCTTATTGTGTCTTTCTATTAAATTAATGACTGTCTTTCCTTTCTTCGTTCTCACCGTCAGATGCATATTACTGCATTCCTATCTGCCCCCCAAAAGAGATACCAAACATTTCCCCCAGCAAGGCACATTGCTGCCCGCTCCAAGATCCCCCCACTTTCTCTCTGCTTCACTGATGAGATCTGTGAAATACATTTGCTTCTCTCTTTTTAATTTTTCATTAAAGATTTTTATTTATTATTTATTTGAGAGAGAGTGAGAGAGCACAAGCAGGGGGAGCTGCAGAGGGAGAAGGAGAAGCAGACTCCCTGCAGAACAGGGAGCGCAACGGGGGGCTCGATCCCAGGACCCCGAGATCATGCCCTGAGCCGAAGGCAGACGTTTAACCGATGAGCCACCCAGGCGCCCCTCCAGTGGGTTTATCTTCATCCATTTGAATTTAATTTCTCTTATCCTGTTTTTCTTTCCTATTAATTTATTGATGTATCTACTGGACTATTCACCCACCCACCCATCCACCATCCATCCTGCCATTTTACATCCTCTCTCCCTCCCTCCTTCCATTATACATCCATCATCCTCTCCAACCCTTTGATAAGTTTATTGCTTAACATTGTTCCCTCTCCTTTTCATCTTCCCAAATTGTGAGGACTCTCCTCCAGTTCAGTGGCTGTTTGGCTAAAGCCCTTTGTCAGAGGAGTCATGTGGATGACATTCCTCCCCTCCTCTACTCTCTGTCTTCCCCGGTAGAATGTTAAACTCACCAAGGGCAGACACTTTATTTTATTGCCCTTTTTATGTCTCCAGTGCCTGGGACAGTGGCTGGACCATAGTTGGTGCTCAACAAATAGTTGTTGAATGAATTACATTTTGCCTACCTTCAAGTCTCTTTCCATCTTTTGCCCTGACAAGCGGGCAGCATCTTGGCTGGCAACTGGGTTCTTGAGCTGCAGTCCTTCCCTTGAAGTGGACTCTAGCTGCTCTTCCACTAGCTTCTGGTTTCCCATGCCGCAGATGAGAAGTCTGGCGCCAGGTTGCACCTCTATATTTTTGCGCACACCCCAATTTTATACAACATTACACATGTGTATTTTGTTTCTCCAGCAATCTTGTTTGTTTACCTGTGAGCCCCCGGCAAAATGCCACATGCATTGTAGGACTCCCTGAAATATTTGTTGTAAAAATAAATGGCTAGATAAAGGAAGGAAGGACTTCAAGACTATGAGAAAGTATATGATGTATTTATCATACCTCTTGAAATGTCAGTGACTGGGATGTTCCAGACCAGTGGTTCTCAAGGCGGGGTCCCAGATCAACAGTGTCAGCCCCACCTGGGAACTTGTTAGAGATACAAATTCAGGGGCTCCACCCAAACCTATGGAATCAGATACTCCGGGGGTGGAGCCCCGCCATCTGTGTTTTAACAAGCCCTCCAGGTGATTCTGATGCGTGTTCAAGTTTGAGAACCAGTGCTGGGGACCAGTCTCCTCTTCTAGATGGGGAAACTGAGGCTAGGAGCAGGGAAGTGACTCGCCTGAACTCACACATGCCATTGGTGGCACAGCCTGGACCAGTGCCCAGGTCCCCAGAGCTACAGCCTGTGTTCTTGCCACACCAACCAGGCTGCCTCCCCGCTTCTTGCTATTTCCTTTGTAACCAAAACGAACTGTGCATTTGTCAAACCATTTCAAAGCCCTGGGATTGAATCTCCACTCTTAATAAGTTTTTGATTTCACTGCGGGCTTTCCAGGATGTAAAAAAAAATGTGACTTAGAGTTGTTTCTATAAGGCTTTGAGCAATGGAAAGGAGCCAGGCGATTGAATTACTTTTCACGGAGGGCTTCTTGGGCTGGAGCTGTAATGTTATATAGCTCAGCGTTATGAGTCTGTTCTCTCTCTCTCATTGCAATGCATGTCACACACAATCCAGTTTCCTCCCATTTGTGGGAGAGAACGTGTGAATGGCCGTCAACGTTGGCCCAGGAGAAGGATTAGGAACTTTGATGTTGATCAAGTCTCTAGGATCACTGTGTTTCTCTTGCTAATATTTTTATTTGTTACAAGTTTCTTTTTAATGTATTTTGCATATTCCTTTCCAGTCTTTTTTTCATATGCGTATTTTTTGTTTGTTTTTATTCTTTGGTCGAAACCATGCCTGATACACCATCAAAGGATGCTTCCTTTTTTCACTTTTCCTAGAGTGGGCCCTTTCCATGCCATTATTATGGACCTCCCCTTCCTATCAGTTTTAAAAAGATACTTTATATTTTGGAAATTTTTAGATATACTGAAGAGTTGCAAGGGTAGTACAGAGAGTTCCTGAATACCCGTATGCCCCTCCTCTTCATTCTCTGGAGAGCAGGGTTTTCAGATTAGAGAACTGAGATTTTTGAGCAGAGCAGTGACACTCTTAGATTGATCTTTTTTTTTGGGAGAAGCTTCTAGAGGCCTTCTGTTTATTTAGCCAATCTTTGTTGGATGTATATCATTTGTCAGACCTGGGATATGCATTGGGTGGGAACAATGATAAACAGGACACAATACTGTCTTATTAATTAATTGTGTATATCTAATTAATTGTGTATATATACACATATATACATAACATAAAGTTTACTGACTTAATTGTTTGTAAGTGTACTGTTCAGTAGCGTTAAGTACGTTGACATTAGGACAATTTATATCCGGAGGTCTTTGATCCTGCAAAACTAAAACTCTGTACCCGTTACACAACTGACCATTCTCCCCTCCCCCAGCCCCTGGCACCCAGCACTCTTCTTTCTGTCTCTATGAATTTAACTATTCTGAGGAACCTCAGATAAGTGGAATCATATGGTATTTGTCTTTTTGTGACTGGCTTATTTCACTAGGTATAATGTCCTCACGGTCCACCTGTGTTGTAGCCTGGGTCAGAATGGCCTCCCTTCCTGAGGCTGGATAATATTCCATTGTCTGGATGGACCGCATTTTGTTGATCCCTTCCTCTGTCAATGGACACTTGGGTTGCTTCCATCTCTTGGCTGTTGTGAATAATGCTGCCATGAATATGGATGTACAAATAGCCTTTTGTATCCCTGCTTTTGATCTTTTGGGGGATATACCCCAAAGTTGTATTTCTGGATCACGTGGAAATACTGCTTTTAATTTTTTTGAGAAACAGCCATTCTGTTTTCCAGAGTGGCTGCACCATTTTACATTCCCATCAGCAGTGCACACGGGTTCCCATTTCTCCAACGCTAACATTTGTGACTTATTTTTTCTTCTTTCCTTTCTTTCTCGCTCCCATTTTTCTTTCTTTCTTTCTTTCTTTTTTTTTTTTTTTTTGATAGCGGCCATCCACTAGCTGTGAGGTGCTATCTCATTGTGGTTTCGATTTGCATTTCCCTGAGGATGAGTGATGCTGAGCATCTTTTCATGTGTTAATTAACAATTTATATGTCTTTCTTGGAGAAATATCTATTCAAATCCTTTGCTCATTTTAAATTTTTTTTTATTGGTTGTTGTTGAATTATAGCTGTTTATAGATTCTGGTTACTAACACCTTATCAGATACAGGTTTGCAAATATTTTCTTCCCTTCTGTGGGCTGCTAGTGTCCTCTGATACCCAAAAGCTTTTTCATTTTGATGTAGTCCAATGTATCCATCTTAATTTTGGTTGCTTGTGCTTTTGGTGTCATATCCAGTAAATCACTGCCCAGTCCAACATTGTAAAAATTTTCCTCTACGTTTTCTTCTAAGAGTTTTATAATGTTAGGTTTTACATTCAAGTCTTTGATGTATTTGGAGTTCATTTTTGTATGTAATGTAAGGTAAGGTAAACTTCATCCTTCTGTGATTGGATAGCTACTCTCCCAAGCATCATTTGTTGAAATGATAGCCCTTTCCTCCCTGAATGGTCTTGGCAGCTTCGTCAAAGTCATTTGACTGTTTATGTGAGGGTTTAATGTGGTTTATTTGGAAATGACATCTGTGCCCACCAACACTTATATGTGTGTGTTTCTATGCTCTCCCCGCCACACCCCCAATTTAGGGAGTATCACGTTGTTTGCGGCCATTACCATCATCCTGGGATGCCTTAAAATTGGGTACTTCGTTGGATTTTCTGAATGTTTATCAGCCACTGAAGGAGTCTTTCCTGTCACACATGCAGTACATACTCTGTTGCAGGTAAACCCTACGATGTTTATTTATGTTGCCTTGGCTCCTGTTAAGTGCATCCCAGGGTGTGTGTGAAGTGGGATGCACTGGGGGGACAGCATGAGGTGGGCTTCGATCCTTCTCTGAGGCTCAGTCTTTCAGCTGCCTCCACTGTAAAATGGGTCTCTGTGTCCCCTTGGCTGTCTTTGTGGGAATCCTGTGAGGCAGAACTTGTAATGGAGAGTCAGGAAATTTTGCCAACCTTGAGTCTACCAGCAAAGGCTTGGGGGGAGTTTGAATATATTTCATTGAGTTTTCTTGAGCTGTAATTCACATACCATACAATTTACCCCTTTAAAGTGTACAAGTCAGTGGTTTGGTATATTCATGGGGTTGTGCGACCATCACCACAATCAATCTTAGAACGTTTTCGTCACCCCCAAAAGAAACCCTGTGCCATTGCGGTCACTCCTCTGGGTCACTGAAGCCTTGTATTTGGAGATAGGGTCCTTATGGAGGTAATTAAGGTGAAATGAGGTCATATGGGTGGCCCTGATCACATAGAGTTGGTGTCTTTATAAGAAGAGGGATTAGGACACAGACTCAGAGAGAAGGAAGAACGCGCGAGGACACTGGATGAAGACAGCCATCCACAAGCTGGCGGGGAAGGCCTCGGGAGCAACCAGCCCTGCCCACACCTTGATCTTGGGCTTCTGGCCTCTCGGGGTGTGAGCAAATACATTTTTGTTGTTTGAAGCAACCCAATCTATGGTATTTTGTCCTGGAAACACCAACAATTCATTTATTGACTATTTATTTCAGGGGAGTCAAATCCCCTGGTGACAGAGTCTTATAGTGATACCAGTGACAATGTGGAGAGCCTCAGTGAGACCAGAAAGAACTAACTTCCTTCCCTCCCTCCAGTCTCTCCCTTCCTTCTTCCTTCCTTCCTTCCTTCTTCCTTCCTTCCTTCCTTCCTTCCTTCCTTCCTTCCTTCCTTCCTTCCTTCCTTCCTTCCTTCCT